TGGTTCTGGCAATGATGTGCAGTAGTAAGCAATTTTTAATTCCAATATGTGCATGCTTCTTCCCCATTGATGTTCAAAAGTCAGGCATTTCTTTTATGTCTTTTTGAGAAACTCAAAATTCCAAAAGAGTGTCTTCACACTGGGTCTCCAGGATTCTGAGATCCCCTACTAGATATACTTTCTGCAGTTGGGATTTCTTTTGTGCAGTTGACTGGTTGGGAGGACAGTGTTCCAGAAAGTGAGGCAGGGTTAATGAAGAGAACAGGTTGACTCTCCTTATTTTAATAATAGGTTTTCTCAAGTGGACGAGCACTGGTAATAAATAGTCTTCAAATTTAAAGGTTATTTATGTACAGTACATTGACTATGATAATTGCCGAACCTAGATGAAACCAATGGCAAACTTGAGTATAAAAGAGTAATGAGAACTATAACCAAATTATTGTTAACTTCCTATTCAAGAACCTTTGGGTTCTTTAAGTCATGCAAACTGCATCACCTTTATGGGAGTAAATTTCACAGAAATGTTTCTTTCCAACTCCAGTCTCGCTCCTACCAGCACATTTTCTTGCTCTTGGTTCTGGAGCACTGAATTGGACTAAGTATTAACACTAGTCAACAGTCATCACCAGATTATGGGGTTGCTACATTGTAATATATTCTAATTAAAATAAAATTTACAGTAATTCTCGTGTCTGGAATTGCATTCTACATTCCAACTGTGGGATATAAACAAAACATAATGCTGCAAATGTTTATGTGTATACATCAAAAATATTCTCACTGGCTTGAATTTGTGAAATGTATTCCATTGATAGAACTAAATATACAATTTATTATTTTGCTAAATGAACTCACAGGTCCACTAATCTGAGCATCCATTGTATTCATTTGCGATGAATATATGCATGTTTCAATCAGCAACTCTATAAAACATGTTTTGATACAAATGTTTTTGAAGTGTACCTGACCCAAAATTAATGCAGATATATTTTCCATGAGTTGGCTCCAAATGCTGTTTGCATGTCTGTTGTCATAGTAATTTTGGTCAGCCACGTATGAGTTCGGGAAATGCTTTAACCAGATCAGAATTTTTACAACTTACGCATGACTTGCTGACTTATACTGCATACGCATAGGATGTTGTGCAGTCTCGGTGTATAGTTTAATGTAATGAATGAATCTTAATGTTGCATTAAAATATTAAAGTTATGTTCACTGCTGCTGGGAAAATGAGTTGCGTACTGTCTCAGATTGGGATCTATAGGTTCTTCTTTATTTTCTATGTTTTTTCCCTCCCCCTACACTTTCACCTAATTGGCACCTAATTCTTGCTCGTTTATGGTTCTTCATTAACCAGTATTCCTCTTATGCTTCATGTAGATGGTCACACTAAGTTTAATGCAGATGAAGTTCTTTTTTAAATACTGTTGGATTATATAAGAAGTTCAGATTGACTATTGCCCTTGCATGTGCATTTTCCAGGCATATTAATGGGTAGAAATTGAAATTTCATGTTGAATTTTTCTTGCGCCCATTAAATCTGAAGCCCAGTTTGGTGAGGCAGATATCAGCTTGAAATGTTGATCTGAAATAATTGCCTCTTTCTTTAGCTTGGTGTTGATGTGGGAGATCTTTTCATTCCTTGAGAAAATGGAAGGTAAAATTACCTTACGTGTATTATTTTAAAATGTAAGATGCACGAAAACCAAATGTGGCAAAACTGAACTTGGGTATTTAATATTTGCAACCTGTCTTAAAAGTGGTATTTAATTGGAAAGGTGAGATGATGCTCATTAAATGTCTGTTACATACACCTATAGAGGCATTTATCTACACATATATCACAGATTTGAACCTGGTTGTTTCATTAGAGGTTAAAGAAATTCTTCATAGTCCTGTGGTCCATCTCAAACTCTTGGGTACAGTCACTCCTGATCCATGTGCAGTCACTTAGGTTAAAAACTTTTAATAAAAACAGCTGTATACTTAAGTAAATTAATTCATACCAATATCTCAAACAAATTTACTTCTGCCTCTTTCCCTACTTGGCTATTTGAAAAAAACAAAATTAGAAGCATCGTCCAGTTGTTAGCTCAACATTTTCGTAATACAACAAAATATTGTGGGCTATTAAGGAAGCAACCAAAATAATTTACAGAGAGTTCGGACAGTTAATCCCATACAGTTTGTTGAAAGATGAATTGTGCCCAATACAGTTAATGATCTTTTCAAGCGATGAGTCATTCAATGAAAGTTCATAACTTTTTGTGGCAGGGAATCTGACAATGCTATACTTGACCTTGCTTGTTAAGGTTTCTTATTCTGTAACCTGGTAATTTGCTTAAATTGAAAACCGAAAACAGCAGCATATTGCTCATGGGATGTGGTTGCTTTGGCAGGCCAGCATTTATTTTCCATCCCCAGTGGCTTTTGAAGACAATTATCTGTCATTGTCTTCATGTGTGGGCAAAAAGTTCTAGGAAATTTAACCCATTGAGAATGAAGAAATGACAGTCTAGTTCTAAGTTGTGTTAGTGGATGACTTGGAGGGGATCTTGCTCATTCTCGTATTTGAATGTTAAATTCAAATGCAGCATAGATGGTGTGCTCTGCTGCCACTACGTGCCGGTGGTGAGGGTGAATCCGTGTTGGTGGATAGGATACCACTGTAACTGGGCTGCTTTCTCCTGGACGAAGATGAGTTTCATGAGTGTTGTTAGAGTTGTACTCATCCAGGCTACTGGAGAGTATGTCATCAAACTCCTGACTTGTACCTTTTAAACGGTAGACAGCCTTTGAAGAGCTTGGAGGTGAATTACTTGTTACAGAAATTCCAATCCTTTCACCATAGTATATGTTTGTGGTTGGGCTATTTGGGTTTCTAATCAGTTGATAACTTCCAAAATGTTTATGTTGGGGTGAGCTTCAGCATGGTGATGCTGTCAGGATGGAGGCAGTAGGGTTAGGATTAGGATCTACAATGGCGATAGGGTAGGGTTCCTGAGCTGGAGTTCACCTGTTTCTTCCCTTTCTACTTAACTCTCCTCCTCGGAAGGCAGCGGTGGTGATGAGTTGAGCCAGTGCGGATCTGAGGTGAAGCCTAGCGTGGACTTGTGTCGAAGCCCATTGCGGACTCCTGTTCTGTCTGCCTATAATTTTTCTCTGTTTCTCAGGCCTTTTTTTTAAAAATTTTTTAACCTTACTTACCTCCTGTGGAGACGACCTGGCAGCTTCAGCGGCGGCTATGTTGCTGAGATTGGCCCAGCGTAGTCTCATCGAGTGATGTCATCAGTAGAGGTAAGATGGCGCAGAAGAATGGCAACACTATTTGGCAGCAGCGTGGCAAAGGGACTCGTGGTGGTAATGATCTCCTTATCGGGATGGAGGAACCCAGATCTAGGCCCATGGCTAAGCACTTAAGAAGTACTGTAATGCTGAACTTTCAATTTTATTTCTTTATTTTCTACTTTATACCTAAGATTTTGTACCCAGTTACCTTTGTACTTGAGATGGTGCCAGAGAGTGACTTTTCACTGTGCTCCTGTATCCCTGTACTTGAGTACGTGTCAGTAAGACCTAATTCTAAATTCTGAAGAAGAATTTTAGATTCTTTCTTGTAGGAAATGGTCATTGTGTGGCATAAATGTTCCTTGTTATTTTTAACTCCAAGCATGAATGTTGTAATGGACCTGTTGCTCAAAGGGTGTTGCACTTAAAAAGGAGTTATGGATGATATTGAACACTGCACAATTATTAATGAGCATCTGACCTTATGGAGGGGAGATCATTGATCTGTACGTTTACTGTAGTTTCCTGCCTTTGACACCTATCCCAGGATAGACCTATCATTGTCAGCCTTGAAAATTTAAATTGCCCCAGCATTCACAACCAGTTTCATATTTCCACTACCTTCCATGCCAAATAAAAATTTAATGAATTCGCTTCCAAATGTCCTAGCTGTAGATGTTATGATTGTGCCCTTTGTTCTGGATTCTCTTACCAGTGCAAATAGTTTTTTTTAATCATCTTAACCATTTTGGTTGTTTTAATTTCAACCGATCCCGCCTCCTCTCCCCACCTCCCCGACAGAGTTCCCAGTGTAGTCGGTTCTGAGATTTATGGTAGTCATTCTTTTTATCATCATGAATATAGGGATGACTGGTAAGACCAGCATTTATTGCCTGTCTCAAATTTCCGTTGAGCAGTTTGCAGAGCCACTTTCAGAGAACATTTGAGTGTCAATCACATTGTTGTGGATCTAGAGTCACATGTAGGCCAGACCAGTTAAGCATGGTGCATCTTATTCCCTCAAGTACACCAGATGGGTTTTTACAACAATCAGTTGTAAAAGGCAGGTGGGACTAGTTTACTTTGGATTTATGTTTGGCATGGACTGGTTGGTCTGAAGGGTCTGTTTTAGTGCTCTATGACTCTGAGGATAGAAAATTAACACTTAAGTGATGAGGTAATGCATATTGATGTCATACTTTAGATATCATTAGATTCTGTGGAGCAAGAGTAAATTTATGTTCTAGTTAATTAAACATTCATAATATTTTATTGTAATTATTGACAATTAGGCAGAGTACAAGTGAGTGATACAAATTGACACAAACTATTGGTGAAACAGCGCTTGAAGAGTTACCTTGTTTTGTTGATTGTAATTATAAAATGCATACTGATTGGATGACTGCAATTGCATAATGATGGTTGATGAAGAAAACTTGAATGGGACATATTGGTAACTATTTAAAATGGGGATTATCAAAACACAGCAGAGACCTTGTAAAAAAAAGACAAGCAATGTGTGCCTCTTGCAATAGTTAATAGATAAGTATAGATTATTCCCCAACCCCACCCTTTACTTGTTGAATGTGTTTGCCTCTCACTTCAGTGCAATAATCATACTTCTCTGCTGGACAAACTTAGTACTCAAGTAAAGGCCTATATTGTGAAAAGCTTTTAAACTCTGGTTAATCCTGATTATTTCATTTCAGCCATCCCTTACTGTCTACCAGCCAGCAAAGGACTGTTGTTTGTTGTGCCATCATGAACGCAAAGATTGGGGAACTCAACAGAATGGGATTGTGGATCTAAAGAAGTTGGCACATTCAATGCCTGCATTAACTCATGGCGGTCTTGAGCGGGTGCCTCTCTGGATATGCCAGGCATGTCAAAAAAGAGTAGAGGAGGAGGAGCAACGGGCTGTCTGTGAACAGACCCTAATGGTAAAAATGAACTTTATTACTACTTGTGTTGATCTAAAATATCTGTTATGCATCATGAGAAGCAAAGGGAAATTTGTGTTTCATTTAATAATGTTGCTATCAGAATATAAATTATCTTGATTGAATTCTGGGCTATGCCTGCAAATGTAATGTTTCTCTTGGTCATGCCGTAGGATCAACTTACAGATTCAGAGAAGTATTAGCACCGTAGTGTCTTCATTTATTATCATGTGAAATGCTTGTGTTCTGTGGCATGCACGCAAGTTTTGTGTAAACTTTCATAATGATGTTGTATTCACCACAGTGATGTCTAATTTTAAAAAAAAAACTTGCATTCTTTCACAGCAGCAAAGGATGGTGATCAGAGTCTGTGTTTCTTTCATCACTGTGCATAAATTGATTTGGTTTGGGATGAAAAGTTATTTGTAGTTTTTACACTTTTTGTGTATAAATTAATTTCCAAGGTTCAATATGATCAGAATGCCAATTTTTTTTGTAGTTTTCTTTTTACAGAGAGTTCCATTGTGAGTGAATTTTGCTCTTTATGGCTTGATTGATGTTAACCTTTCTAAAGTACTCAAAAAAAAACATAGAAATTGCCTTTGAGGGGATCATGTTACATGCTGCATTAAAGAAAGGGGAAGAAAGGCCCATTTGGGGTTTCACACTTAGTCAAGTACTCTGAAAGCAACACTTTTGGATAAGTCAATGTTGTGTTCAAAATTAAATCATTTTCTTTTGCTTCTACAGAACTCGTCCCTTAAAGAAAAGCATAAAACTGGGGAAATCTGAAATAAAAAGGTGCTGGATTATACTCAGCATGTTTGACAGCATCTCTGAAAAGAAATTAATATTTTGAGTCGAATATGACTCAGAACTGAAGGAAGATGATGGATTTTATGTCATTGAAAGGAAAGAGGGCCAGGACTGTAAGAACATGAGAAATATTCACAGGAGTGGGCCATTTAGTCTGCCGTGTCATTCTATAAGACCATGGCTGATCTCTCCCAGGCATCAACAGCCAAAGAAAAAGGATGATTTGGGATAGGGTTGGGCACAGGACAGATTAACTGACATATGTCATGAAGCAAAGGGCAAAGGGCATGATCATGTTTGCTGTAAAGAAATGGAGCATTTATTTCTAATTAAGCAAAATGAGGGCAGAGTTCATGCTCTGAAATTGCTGAACTCAGTGTTGAGTACAGAAGTCTGTAAAATTCCTAATTGGAAGGCTGTAAAAGTGAGTTTTGTTAGACATCTCATAGAGTATACGACCTCAAACACCAAGAAGGAAGTGGAATTTAATGAAGGTTGACAGAGTAAAAGAAACAAACTGAAATGCCAGTGGGAAGAAACAGTAAAGCTTCAAGGTAGGGATTCCCATAAGAGAAGTGATTCTGAATTAAAAGTGAAAATAAAAGCAAAATACTGTGAATGTTGGAAAGCTGAGCCAATAACAAAGTATGATAAAATACCCAGCAAGTCTGGTGGCACCTGTGGAGAGAAAGAAAGTTACTGTTCCAAGTCAGATTCCCACTCGGCAGTTTACAGCTTTCTAAATGCAGTACTGAGAGGCTGAATTGCCTACTCCTGCTCCTCAATCTTGTGTTCACATATTGCTGCTAATCTGTGCATTTCCAGCACTTGGTTTTTATTTCATGTTTTCAAATGTTAGTTCACATTGATGTTTGAGATGTGAAGGTAAAAAAATTTTCTTAGTTTTACATCGTCAACCTCGACTTCTCCCAGGTCAAGAACACCATGTGACGTAAGAACAACAAAGCCCTGTGCACTTAAATGTACTTGACAGCTCTGTCCCTTACAGTAGAACGCAGTAATGCATCAGAATGACATTTCTGTTCCTCTCAATTGCTGGTAACATTAAATTTATTCATCGTCTTGGAAGTTGTGTCTGGTTTCCAGGCTATTTTCACCTTTGAGAAAGTTGCTTCTGACTACTAGCTTGCTTCATGGCACAGAAGGAGACCACTTGGCCCAGTGTATCTCTTCTAGCTGAAGAATGACCCCAATCTGTTATCACTTTCTAGCATTTGGTCCAGGGTATTGCAGGTTACAGTATATAAGATATGCATCCAGATACATAGAGTCATACAGCACGGAAATCGACCCTTCGGAGCAAGTAGTCCATGCCAACCATAATCCCAAACTAAACTAGTCCCACATAGAACATAACAGAACAGGAATGGGCCCTTAGGTCCACAATGTTGTGCTGAGCATGATGCCAAATTAAATTAATCTCTTTTGACTGCCCTTGGTCCATATCCCTCTATTCCTTGCATATTCATGTGCTTATCTAAATGTCCCTTAAATGCTCCCATCGTATCTGTCTCCTCTGGCAGCGTGTTCCAGACACTTGCCACTCTGTGTTAATAAAACTTGCCCCTCACATCAGAGATAGTAAGAACTGCCTATGCTGGAGTCAAAGATAACACAGTGTGGAGTTGGAGGAACACAGCAGGCCAGGCAGTATCAGAGGAGCAGGAAAGCTGACGTCTTAGATCGGGACCCTTACTATCTCTGATGTGAGGGGCAAGTTTTATTAACACAGAGTGGCAGGAGTCTGGAACATGCTGCCAGAGGTGGCGGTGGTGGAGACAGATACGATAGGAGCATTTAAGGGACTTTTAGATAAGCACATGAATATTCTGAAGAAGGGTCCCGACCCAAAATGTCAGCTTTCTTCCTCCTCTGATGCTGCCTGGCCTGCTGTGTTCCTCCAGCTTCACACTGTGTTGTCTGTTGCCTTTCACATCTCCTTTGAACGTGCCCCCTTGTACTAGATATTTCATCTCAGGGTTGACAGCCAGAATCTGTTTCCCAATCTATGCATCTCACAATTTTATAGATTTCTATCAAGTCTCCAGCTGCTCCAGAGAAAACAACCTGAATTTTTCTAGCCTCTCCGTATTGTTCATGCCCTCTAATTCAGGCAGCATCTGGTAAAACTCTTCTGCACCGTCTCCAAAGTTTCCACACCCTCCCTGTAATGTGGTGACCAGAATTGAATGCAATACTCTAAGTATGGCCTAACCAAAGTCTTATAAAGGGCAACATGACATCCTGACTGTTGTACTCAATTCCTCGAACAATAGAAGCAAGCATGCCGTACGCCTTCTTTACCACCCTATGCTCTTGTGTGGCCGCTTTCAGGAAGCTATGGACTTGAACCCCAAGATCCCTGTGTACATCAATACTGTTCATGGTCCGGCCATTAACTGTATAGTTCGCCTTAACATTTGTTCTTCCAAAGTGCAGCTCCTCACACTTATCTGGATTAAACTCCATCTGCCATTTCTCCGTCCATATGTGCAACTTATCTATATCTTGCCGTATCTTTTGACAACGTTCTACTTTCACCACAATTCCACCAATCTTTGTATTGTCTGCAAATGTACTAATCCACCCATCAACATTTTCATCTAAGTCATTCATATAAATCACAAACAGCAGAGGTCCCAGTAGGAATCCCTGCGGAACACCACTAGTCACAAACCTCCAGCCAGAAAAACACCCTTCCACCACTACCCTCTGTCTTCTCTGGGCAAGCCAATTCTGAATCTAAGCAGGCAAGTCACCGTGAATCCCATGCATCTTAATCTCTGGATGAGCCTGCCCTGAGGGACCTTGTCAAAAGCCTTACTAAAATCCATGTAGACAGCATCCACTGCTCTACCCTCATCAATGATCTTTGTGACCAGCTTGAAAAATTCAAATTGTAAGACATGACCTGCCCCGTACAAAGCCATGCTGACTATCCCTAATTAGGCTATGCTTTTCCAACTGCGTGTAAATCCTATCCTTAAGAATTCTGTCCATTAGGTTCCCAACCACTGATGTGAGACTTGCCAGCCTACAGTTTCCTGGATTTATCCCTATTTCCCTTCTTGAACAGAGGAACAATATTAGCTACTTGCCCCTCCAAGGGTTAGTGAGGATACAAAGAACCTGGTTAAGACCCCAGCAATCTCCTGTCTTGCCTCTCTCAGTAACCTGGGGTAGATACCATCAGACCCTGGGGACTTATCCACCTTAATGCTCTTCAAGACACCAAACTCCATTTCTTTAATGCCCCAGCATATTAACATGTTCTGCGCTAATCTCACTATCCTCCATATACCTCTCCTGGATGAATACCGACACAAAGTATTGATTTAGGATCTCACATCATCCTCTGCTTCCAAACACAAGTTCCCTCCTTTATCCTTGACTGATCCTACCTTCTCCCTAGTTATTGTCTTAATGTATGTATAGTATTGGAATTCTTGCCAAAATCATTTCGTGGCCCCTTCTTGCTCTCCTGATTCCCTGCTTGAGTTCTTTCCTGCTTTCTTTATATTCCTAATGGGCCCTGTGCGATTTTAGCTTCCTAAATCTTTCTTACTGTATGCTGCTTTTTTCCTTTTGACTAAAGTCACAACCTCCTCATTATCTAACAGTCCCTTGCCTTGCCATCCTTGTCCTTCCTCCTTACTGGATCATACCGGCCCTGAAGTCTGGTCACTAGGTCTTTAAACAATTCCCACATGTCAAATGTGGACTTGCCTGATAACAGCTTCTCCTGATTAACACTCCCTAGTTCCTGCCTCATACTGATCAGATTTGCTCTCCCCCAATTTAGTACCTTGCTGCAAGGCCCTGACTTATCCGTTTTCATAGCTATCTTAAAACTTAAGGAGTTGTGATCACTGTTCCCAAAATGCCCTCCCACTGAAAGGTGAGTCACCTTTCCAGGCTTATTAGCCAATACCAGGTCTAGTATGGCTCCTCCTCTAGTTGGAGTTTCCACATACTGTTCAAGAAATCCTCTTGGATGCGTTAACATATTCTGCCCCGTTTAAACCTCTTGCTGTAAGGGAGTCCCAGTCACTATTTAGGAGGTTAAAATCACCCACTATGACAACCCTGTTGTTAATGCATCTTTCCATAATCTGTCTACATTTTTGTTCTTTGATGTATTGGTGGCTGCTGTTGGGGGGACG